AGTCGCCTGGAATCTATCGCTATTATTTCTCAATAGCCGGAGCGTTGGAACTCGGCGGCCATTCCCATTCTCACGCATGCGCAGAAAAATGAAGAGGGATGGTATTTACTACCTCTTTTTAGATCTGTATTGTAATAGTATAAGTTCTGAATGAGAAGGAGCTAAATATTTTTGCTTTTCTTAGTAGAATAAACATACTTTTAAATTTTTCTGTTCTTAATAAATCTTTACAGAGATTATCAAGTTATTCAATGACTGACATGCCAAATGTATTGAAGTTGCTAAACAAGTAATATTCCAGAATTTCCAATTGTAAAATTTCTCTTGAAGCTTATTTTTTATTTGGAATAATATGTGTGTTTATATGAAAAGTTGGTTTTGTAGAGCTCGTAGCTTATATAGTGCTTACCTACACAATATTACACATTTATAGGTCTTTGTTTCTTTCCATAGTTGTGCCAGTCTGTTATTCTAGCTGGAGTAGACAAAATTTCTACAACCCAAAAGTATATTTTAGCAAAGCGGCGTTTAGTGAAGCTGATCAACAATCGAGCCAAACTGCTTTCTCTGTGTTGTTGTATCCTTTGATTATTGTGTGGAAACTCAATTATTTTTTAGAGTAAACTTCAGAGATCATCTTTTAAAACTTAGGAACAAAATTAAGAACTTAACAATCATACATGGTGAAAAGTTACTTCCTACACTGCTATCCAACTTAAATGTTTAATTTTTTAAAACAACCTTGCAAATTGAACATTTTGTGATTTTAAATAACTTAGTCTTTGTTCCAGAAACTGTAAACAGATATAATAGTTTTTTAAATATCAAAAATCTGTGTGACCATTGATCTATCATTACAATTTTATAACCTTTAAAATTAATTAAGAAAATGAACTTTCGTGAGAGACTGTTTAATTCTTTTAGATGGTGAAATTTTAAATGCAGCGGCACCTCTGGGAAGATATTTTCTTTAAGAGGCATTACATGCATTTTGGGATTGTGATTATTGTTAGGAATATTAATTGAGCTGTCTAAATATAAAGTTATTAACTAGCTTAATAATGTTTGAGAAAGCAATAAAAACTGCAACCAGAGAACGTTTTTTGCTTAAAAATGATAGTATCATTTATATGTATTCTGGAAGAAATGATTAAAATGTGGGGATGAAACAGGTGCTTATTTGTCACTACAGTAAAAGATATTAGCTGTTGCTTTATTTTGTTATATACATGCCCAAGATTATGTAAATGCAAACTCCTTTACTAGATATGCTTGCAGATATTATAGAAACCTGTCTTTTTATTCTTTGGCGGCATCTTGAACACTATCTGCTACACTGTACGCCTGCAGATTCCCAAGCTTCTCTTTTGGCTCCCAGGACTCAGTCAAGGAGCAGAAGATTACAAGGTAATTTTCCTTAAATTTATTTAAATTCCTACATTGAAGCTTAATCAGCTGATTGTGTAACTGTTTATAATCAATTAGGGTTGGAGTGGTTTTAATGGATTCTACTACAACAAAACTAAAACATCTAAACATTTTGTGATTAATTATATGCATGAATCATAAAGACTCCCATTCCAGGGACGGTTGCAATTGAAACGGAAGTTTTAACTTGCCCCTCGGTAAGGGTTTCCACTTATTCCTCCAGTAGGAAACATGAATCCAGAACTTCCAGAATGCGATCCTGTTCTCATGAAGAAGCCTCCAGGCACTGGGATATAACTTTCATTTAAAATTCCTTATTAGTTTAAGGTGGAGATGTATAGTTGGGTGTTGTGACTCAGCAGATGTCTGCTGTGAGCTTTTTTTGGATACAAAATTCAGGGTTGTGATTCAGCAGTTCTGCTGAGAGTTTTTTCGGGATACAAAATTCAGGATGCAGCTGGGGCTTGTGGGAGGAGGTTTGGGGGATAAAAGGACAGATGCTGCCACGCCCCAGTCGCTGGAGTCAACATTCCTTCGTGTGTTCCGTGTTTGGTAAAATATTGTTTGATTACTAATTGTGATTCATTGCGCGTCTGCAGCAAGACATTGAGGATTTGTTTGNTTATGCTGGCTGGGGAATTCTGGGAGTTGGACGGGACCAGAAGTCGGGTTGGGAAAAGCTGGCAGGAAACTGCCTCTTTTGGCATCAGCCGTCCGTATGGTGCGCATTAAACGGCTGGGAAAGGGATAATTTAGACAGACATCCTTTTAATCCTCGCCCCCCCCCCTCCGCGCGGGGTTCCAACGTCACGATCGCGGGAACCAAGAGTCCGTGTATTAAAAGGCTGGGCTATCGCAGCCTCCCCTCCCTCCCCGCCTGAAATCCAACCTAAGACCCTGCCGGACTACATCTCCCCTCCTCCCGCCGCGCCGTCCAACAGCCCCCCCGCCCCGCCAAGCGCCTCATCCCCCGCTTCTCCCTGGGACTTGTAGTCTCCGAGTCGACCGCGGAGGGAAACTACTGTTCCCAGAATGCAGAGCGGCAGAACGGCTGGTGAGGTTTTGAAAAGAAGGTGGACGCAGCGGGAGTGGGGGGGCAGAAAAGTAAAGGGAGCCCCTTCGCGAAGCTCCTCCTCCCCCTCCCCTCTCTCCTGCCCGCTTAGGCTTTTCAGGGCGGCGCGGGGGTGGGGGGCCCCGGCGAGGGCCAGGAGAGGAAGGGCTGCCGGAGGTTTCCTTCCTCCTCCTCCTCGCTCGGGGGAAGCGGCCCTCCCCGTGACAGTCCATTTCCTGGCCGGAGCGGGCCGCGGGCGGAGGGCGAGACGGGCAGCGGCAGCAGCTGCTCGGCATGGTCTTCTCGCTGCCGGCCCCCGCCGCTCCTCGCCCGCCGCCTCCTCCTCCTCTTCCGCCTCCGGCCGCCGCTACTGTGTAGCGATGCTGCAGGGCCGGCGCGGCGCCCGCAGCGGAAGCCGCGATGGTAACACTGTGGCCCGGCCAGGTAGCTGCGCCCGCGGGAGGCCGGGAGGGGAGGGGAGGGGGAGAAAGGGGGAAGGTCTCGGCCTCTGGGGCAGCTGCTGTGGGGGGGAGGGGGAGACGGAGGGGGTCTTCCCGCGCCCCCCTCCTCCTCCTCCTTTCTGTGGGTCGAGGCTTAAGAAGGCGCCCCGGGGCGTCCTCGGCCGCTGCTGTAGGGAGGAGGGGGCAAGGGAGGAGGAGGGGGGGGTCTCCCCGACCCCTCCTCCTCCTTTGAGGGGTGTTTTTAAAAAGGCAGCCCCGCGCCCTCTTCCTCCTCCTTTCTGGGGGGTGGCTGTTAATAAGACGCCCCGGCCTCTTCTGAAGGGAGGAGGGGGGGTCTCCCGACCCCTCTTCCTCCTTCTTTGTGGGGGGGGTGTGTTAAGAAGGCAACCCCGAGGCCTCCGAGGCCTCTGCTGTCCAACTCTCCCTGCTTCTCTTCTTCTCCCCCAGCTCTGGGCTCCTCACCTTGGGCCCCTTGTGAGCCCCTTCCCATCCTTTGCAAGAACCCCCTCCCAATATTGAACCCTGGAGCTCTGACCTATATAAATAACCTCACTCTTTTTTCCTCCCCCCCAGGTCTGAGTGCGAATTGCAGCCGGGCTCTGCCTTCCTGGACTCAGAGAGCTACACCCTCCTGGGCTGCCCTTTAAGGAGGGGGAAGCCAAAGAGCTTGCCTCCCCCCTCCCCAGCTGTCTGTTTCGTGGCCTGGCAGGAATTCTTGCCCATTTGCCCTCCTCCCTCCCTGGGTGTCTGTGGCGGAGGGAAGCCTGGC